ATTTGCCCCAGGTCTAATTAGCTGGAAAATGGCACAGTTGGTTACAGACCCAGGTAGTTTGTGTCCAGAGTCAGCACCCTCAACTTTGACATTGTACACCTCAAGAGCCAACAGAGTAGAAGAGGGCATCCATTCAAATTATAACCTAAGATACAAAAAGCCAGTAATGGCAAATATCCGGTTTTCAAAGAAGAGGAAACTATTTTATGAAATACTGTAAAAAACAATATTAAACAGATTGTTAAATTATGTTTTGTTGGGGCGCCTGGGTGGCGCAGTCGGTTAAGCGTCCGACTTCAACCAGGTCACGATCTCACGGTCCGTGAGTTCGAGCCCCGCGTCGGGCTCTGGGCTGATGGCTCAGAGCCTGGAGCCTGTTTCCGATTCTGTGTCTCCCTCTCTCTCTGCCCCTGGCCCATTCATGCTCTGTCTCTCTCTGTCCCAAAAATAAATAAACGTTGAAAAAAAAATTAAAAAAAAAATTATGTTTTGTTAATATTTGGAAAAGAAATCATTGATTTGAGTATTTTAATCATTGAAGTGAGTATTTTAATCCTCGGGTATGAATTATGCCAAACTCATCTCTTTTACCTTTATGGTTACTGTAACTATAAAGCATGAATATAAATAAGACAGGTATAATGTACCTTGATTTTAGCAGAAATGTCTTTCTGTCTTATTAAAAATCACAAAAATCTTCAAAATCATCTTAAAACTGAAATTAAATAAAATCTTGATGGTTTCGTATAAATGGATTCAGACATAACTACAATGCCTCAAAAGTGCTTATAAGTGAATAAATACAAAGATGAGTGGATGTCTTTAGTGACGCATGAAAAGTTTCGTTTTGGGGTTTTTAGGTTAAAATTATCCATCAATCAAATACAGGATGGGGAGGACTAAGTAGGAATTTATATTTTTAAAAAAGTGCAAAAGCTTTACTTAACTAAAAGTTTGATATGATTCAAAGAATGGTAGTCAAAAATGCTAATGCACTCAAGGGGAGCGCTATCAGAAATATGGTATCAGAACAACAGAGGTAATGAATGGATGGTATAATTCTAAGATCACTTCTAAACGGTTATGTTCCACCTGAGTGACACATAATGAAGGGAAATAGGAGAGCAACCTGGATGGTAAAAATTTGGATGCTTAATGAATAAACAACGGAAGTTTAGTCTGTAGAACAGATGTGTGTGTGCATGTGTGTGCCCACATGCATGTGTGTTCCAGACTAAGTATTGGGAGTATGTTGATCTCTTTTTGAGAAACAGGCCAGCATGATCTGATCCACATTTTAACAGGACCACTCTGTCTGCTATGCTGTGACAAAAATGGAGTGACGTAAGGATAGATGCAAGGAAATAACATAGGCAGTAACGATCCAGATGAGAGATAAAGGTTACCTGAATCGGGATGATTCAAAATGATGAAATACTATATCTTTTTGGCTTTAGCATAACTTTAAAGGTGAAGCCAATAGGATTTGGTAGTTTGGTAGTATTATCTGCAGGGTGTGAAACATCATATGCCAAGGTACTTTGGCCCGAGCTATATGTTATTCAAATAAAATTCCAGATTTTAAAGAAACCTTAGAAACTTTCTAATCAAGACTTTGATTCTTTAAAGGAATCCTGTCTACAACATGCTCCTGCTCCTTGAACACTTCCTTGACAAGGAATTTACTAACTCACACAGCACCCATTTGGGAATAGCTCTGGTTTTAAGCACTCTTTTTCTTACAAGGAGCCAAAGCCTACTTCTCCATGATGAACAAATGTGATAGTGTGTTTTATAATAAGAAATATATATATTTGATCTTCATCCTGTTTTTGGCATAGAGCTCCTAAAACCCTTGGATTTTTCTAAGGGATAAGAGTGAGATAAGGTATCTTGATATTCATGACAAAGCCTTTTCAAACCCACCTGACTTTATGTTAATGAGGTGACTTTTGGAAAGCACTTAACGGTGGGGGGATGGTCACTAGGGAAACCAATATTGTAGTTTGGGTGTTGGAACTTTCAGTCCCATCCCTGCAACCTCTGGGGAGTAGAGAGGGGTTGGAGCTGGAGTTCAGTCACCACTGGCTGGTGATTTAATTAATCATGCAATGTAATGAAGCATCTGTGAAAACCCAAAAGGACAAGGTTGAGGGAGCTTCTGGGCTGGTGTATCAGAATGCCTCTATGTGCCGCTGTGCCCCGGGTTTCAAACTCCAAAGGGAACAGAAACTCCTGCATTCAGAGCCTTGCCCTGGTTATATCTTCTTCTGGCTGTTGATTTGTATCCTTTAATATATTTTGCAATAAACCAACAATCTAGTGAACAATCTAGTGTTCCTGAGTTCTATGAGCCTATCCAGCAAATTAATCAAACCCAAGGAGGAGCGTGGGGAGGATGGGAATCTCTAATTTATAGCTGCTCAGTCAGGAGAACAAGTAACAACCTGGACTTGTGATTGCCATCTGAAGTGGGGGCAATCCACAAGACTGAACCTTTAACCTGTGGAATCTCCAAATAGTATCAGAACTGAGTTGAATTATAGAACACCTAGGTGGTGTCTGAGAATTGCTTGGTGTGGGGGAAAAATACACACACTGGAATTAGTGTCAGAATTGTAACAACTGAATGAAAAAAGATGAAAAACCTGGTAGGAAGGTGGATAAAAGAAAAGAAAAGTGGGGAGGAACTGTATTTGTTTCTTCACTTCAAGCATGGTATGTGGCATTAGGTTTGTAATAAATATTCTTTGCTATCTGGGCAATTTGGAAGAAGAGCATTGGGTCATAATGATATGACCATAGGGTATTAGTTATTTCTTAATGAGATTTCAAAAGAATCAAATTAAAATGTTTCCTCTATCCACTATGCTTATATATGTGTCTTATTGATTCAGTGAGTTTGTTTATGACGATGGTGTGTTTTTTCATGATAGTGGTTTTAAATAAATGGAAAATACCTATGTATTCTAGTTTTTTAGCTCCTTGGTATCTCAGCTTCTCAGCTATATTTAAGTGTACATTCCCTTTAAATAAGGAGCAAACACAAAACATACTGCTACAGTTTGGTCACCAACTAATCAGCATGGATGCCAGCCAGTCTGGTGTATATCAGCTAAATATCTGCCTGCTCAAACTATGGGAGAATCAAGCTATTAGAGTGGTGAGTTTAAATACTACATATTTTTATTTTGTCTTTATTGTAATGAACAAGCCCTGTCTTTAGCTCCTGCTGTGCACTTTTGGAGGATCTTCCATATGGTTGCTGCTAAGTATTTTGGCATTTTCCCAACTGTTACAATTGGGTCAGTGGGGGGGATTGTATAGGAGTAATAAAACAAGGGTGACTGCAGCAGGGAGGAGTAAGATTACTACACACATAACAGCTTATTGCCTCATGCATTCAAGCACAGCTCAATGCCATTCATTACAACAGGCAGCCAGGGTAAACTGCCTTTTGCCACAGAGTTTACACCAGAAAGGCCAGGCTTTGGGCGCAGGGACTAAGTGTTCTTGTTTACATTTTTTCCCCGTTTCCTTACTTCTCCATTTTCCTATAAAATCTAGAATAATTTGAAGGAGTAAAACAATTACAGTTTGCGTATTACCATGCCATTCTGAGAAAGTTTCTTGAGCAGTCTCTTAGCTAAATTTTAGCAACAACAGCAGGATTCTCAGTGGCACTGAGGATTTTGATATGAGAGAGAAAAAAATGGGGAAGTGAAGTCTGACTCCCGCAAACACTTAAAAATCCTTGAGACATGATTCATAAATCCAGAGATGACTAATAGTATTGACACTATTCCTGGAGTGTTTTCCCTGACAGAATTGACATGAAACAAAGGCTACTATCATTTTTATCCTATGGAAGGCAGTGTTGCTTAAAGCACTAACAGATTGGAAGGAAAAAAGTTCACAGCAAAATTAATATTCTAAACAGTAAAATATTAAGTTGAAATATGCGCACGCGCGCACGCACACACACACACACACACACACACACACACATGCTTAAGTAAAACAATGAATTTAAGGTCTTGATCCTAAGATTGTATTTTCCATATTTATGCTTATACACATAAGTATTCTTTGAATAATTTATTATGCTTTTCCTTTAGGGGCTCCTCCCCCCCACATTAAGCACTAATATGCAGCTATATAGCATTCTAATAGGTTCACAGTACAGCCATGATTTTTTTTCACGCAATGGCAAGAAATCGAGATTTTAAGAAATAGAATTGGAGACGTTTAAACCGGTAGGCAAACGTGTGGATTTATTTTTTTTTTTTTAATGTTTCCAGCCAAGAATTGTAAATACCAAGTGTTGCATTAAAAAAGTTGCTCCTTATTCCCTTCCTGCCCCGTCATCCTCATGCTTAGGAACAGTGTACCCTGAGACACGCCGGGTGGTCAGATCCATGGGCCCAGGACTGCAGGTGAACGCCTCTAGACCCATAGCTGGCTGCGCCGGCCAGCGCCACGGAGATCGCCGGCCCCTCAGGGCGGGAAAGAACGTGAACTTCGGGGACAAACACCGCTGGGGCACGGACCACAGCAGTGCAACCAGCCCCTGCACTTATGAGAGTACTGATACTGACAGCAACGGGATGGTCGTAAACCAACTGGTTCCGGGACGACCCACACTTGTCCTAAAACGCTGGGAGCCCCACTTCCAGCTTCCCCCGAAGCAGGGAGGAAAGGGCTAATTAAGGCTCATCTCTCTCTGTATTCGGCAGGGAACCCAGGCACAGAAGCTTCCCGGCACCGCTCACGGTCTCCCGCGCTCTGATACCACCGCAAGCCCCCTCCTGACACGCCACGCGGCGACCCCGCCGGCGGGAAAAGCGGGCAGCAGCTGAGGTGAGGGCAGAGGCAGCAGCTTCAGGCGCCCCAGTGCGCAAGCGCGCGCGCCTAATGCGCAGGCGCCGCCTAGAAGTGACTTCTCCAAAAAGTGTCTTAGTTCTCGGTCACCTGAGCTCGGGGGTGACTCGGCTGCGGTAGGCTTCGCAGCTACCCGCCCTCCGCGGGTCCTGCCTGGTGACCCCTCCCTCTTCTCCTGCCCATCGCTCCACCACCCCAAACCCTCCAAGGGCCTGTCCTTTCCGTTCTGCCTTTTCCCAGTCGCGGGTCGGACCGGGCCGATCCGGGCAGCCTGGGCGCGGTCTCCGACCATGGCGTCTCTCTTCAAGAAGAAAACCGTGGATGGTGAGTTCAGGCCGGGCCGAAGGGGCCCAGCTCGGCGTTTCCCTGGCGTGTTTTGGGGGCTTCCGGCCACGATTCTTTCTGCTGTCCCTAGGGGCGGGGCTGGATCAAGTGGCCCCACAGGTGACCGCCCTCGTGCGTCACTTCTCTGCTTCCTCATCTCTTCTGACTCGCCACACCTCAACCTCACCTGGGCAGTCTGGCTTCTCTCTGATAACACGACACACACCACCTTCACCACCCCCACCCCCGCCCGGTTTTTCCTTTAGCGAGGTGTTGAGCATTTTAAGGAGACAGGATTCAGCTGGCCTTAACTGTTAGACTGTGATTTGGTCAGTTGCGTGTTGGTTTGATCTGTTGGTTTGTTGCTTCTTCAGTTTGTAGCTGTACTATTTACAGACGTATGAACAGGAAACCTGTACTGAGCTGGAGGATGGTGTAACAGGCTCCAGTTCCAAAATGAACCTGGGTCTGGGTCGTTTGGCCCTAAGAATATCCCATCAAAGAGATGTGAAACAAATGCTTTACTGGCTCCAGTAAAAATATAAAAGGAACCTAAGGAATGTGCCTTACTTAGGTTTAGTTTTCATAATGTATTTTTCCTTCCCTTTGCTTGTCTTTTACTGTCTAAAGTAAGAGATGTGATATGTATTATCTGCATAGAAGTTTCCATTTTAAGATACTCGCATTGTTTTGGACATTTAGCTCCACGTCATCTTAAGAGGAAAAAAGTGAATGTATAGAAATATACAAAATGGTATTTATTAGCAATTACTGTAATGTATATTTATATAACACTGATTAGTTACTCTTGATATTTTCATTGACTGCCACCAGGAATCAAATTCATTCAAGCTATTTAAAAATCGTGTTTCCTATTACATGTTGAGTCTAGGTTGCTGCTGGTTCAACTAAAGAATCACTTCTTTGTAAGGGTCTAACTCTGCCACAAAAGGAGCAGTGGTAGCTAGACAGTGATTGGTACAAACAGGGTGCTGAGTCCAGACCTGGGGTAACTCCTTCTTTCCTTTGTATTGACTGTTCCAGTGCCAACAACATTATTTTGGTGAGGATAACAAAGACATCATTTTTACTTTGCCACTCTACCCATCACTTCAACACATAATGTCATTTTAGCCCTCATTTAGCACACAGCATAATACATTTTTGCTTAACCTGAGTGGGTAAAAAAAATTTTTTTTTTCTTCAATTTATGGACTTTTTAAGTAACTAAGAAGTACCATTTACAGTACCTGGAACACATTCCAAGTAGGTATAGGATGTAGTACAATTATGAAGGATGGATTTTATTTGAGAATGCTGTCTAATCTTTAATGGGGTACTTCCCACCGCCCCCCTCCCCCCCCACACACACTGTTTCAGCACCAATATTGTGGTTTCCAGTTATTGTATAGTACTTCAGGGGAGAAAAGGTTTTTTGTTTCAGTTTTATACAGTGAGAATTGACTAAGCAGAGGAAAGGAGTCATACCTTTGTTACTGTGATGTTACCAATTAGATTTTTAAAAAACATTTTAATGTTAAAGGCCAAACAGCTTTAATTGCCTAATACCTGTCAAATATTTTCAAAGACAAAAATATCAGTTCTGTATTCTCATTTCTGTGCTTCTTGGTGCTTTTGGCAGCCTAGTGACTATTGTACTTGAAGTATATAGAGCAGAATAAAAAAAAACACAGTGAGGATGTGCAGTGAGGGTATTTAACTGTATACTCATTTGCAGTTGGGTTAATTCATCCAAGAAATAATGTTTTTTGCTAAAGAGACTTATTTGTGAAAATAAAGTCTTAAGGACTTTAGCCAGGAGCTATACTACTGATTTAAAGATTTATGTGAAATTCTGAATGCAAATTTGCCCACCATGCACATTTACTATAACTACTGCTACTACTTACTATAACTGCATACTTGTTTTTTTTTTTTACATTATCACGTCAATTCAAATCACTTAATGACTTTTTAATTATATATTTGTACTTTCATTACTTTGATATAGAGCTTTGTTGATATTTTTACTCCTTGTTTTATTAAAAAGGTGTTTTGTTTAAAAGGTGACAGCATTCTTCTTAGCAGTAATGAGGCTATATATTATAAAATGTAATGTATTTTTATGCATTTCTCCCAGATCCTTGGACTCGTTGATTATTGATCATAAGATCTTTTGCTGTATGCTGCCTTTTTATCTGTTTCAGCAGTAATGAAATTCTGATATATAAGGGAAATATGTAACTGCTTATAGATCTGGAGAATAATTGAATCTTTTTGTCTCTTTGGATTGGCTGGAAGAGTTGCATACTATATCATTAAAGACTACTGTGCTTGTAAATTAAAAAGGGAGACAACATTACAGCACTTATTACTATTCAGAGTTATGTTTAATTCATTTTTGACACAAAGATGAACAAGTCTCTGTAGTGTATACTTTGTTACAGAAATTAATGAGAATTGTACCTCAGTGCTATAGAAGAGAAAGATTCCTTTGAACTTGAAATTACAATTGAGTATTTGGTTTTCCTTTCACTGATTTTTAAGGTATATACATAGGGTAATGTGTGTACAGTGTTTTTCCCCCCTATGTGGACTAATAGTGACCTATTTATTGAAACTAATTATGAATCTGTAAATCAGGATGCATTGAGGATTTGTCATAAATGGACAACTAAGTGTGTCTTTTAAAAAGTGAAATTCTTTAAGCCATATGTGTGTGTGAGTGTGGTGTGTATAATTTTTGTCTGTTACCTTCAATAAAGACAAATTTGAGGTCCTACTCTAAGCCAGCATTGTGTTGGCATTTCGTATACAGCATCTTATTTAATTCTCACAAAACTTTTAAGTATTATTATTATTCTCACTTTATAGGTGAGGAAATTGAGATACAAAAGACTAAGTAATTTGCCCATGGTCACACAACTTAGTGGCAAAACCAGGACCTCATCCCTTGAGTATTATCATTGGTATTTTCTTATTAGAGATCCTATGGCACGATTTAATTTTGCTGTTCTTGCTAGTATATGGAATTCTCAACTTTTAGTAGGCACCATGTAATGATAACCTTTTGTCTGGGAATCAGTCTCTTTTTCTCTTGGAATTACTGGTAGAACTCTATTTTTAACAGTGTTAGAACTAGAAACAACCTCCTTTTGCTCACTCTCCTTTGAGCCAGCATTTCTGAGGAAGTATTTTCCAATCTCTTTCTGCTCTACACGTACACTTCTTGAAGGAGCAGTGTTGTCTTCTGTCTCCACCCCTGTATTTCTCAGACACTCCCCCCGCCCCCTCCCGTTCTATAGCAGTTTGCTTTACATCTTAAGTGATAAGATCTTGCTAAGATCATCAATGACTCCTAGACTGCCAAATGACCATTTTTTAGTAATCATCTCTTGGGTCTACGTTTTGCATTTCTTTATTGAATAATTTCTTTATTGAATAATTTCTTTATTGAAATTCTCTTTTGGCTTCCATGAAACTCTTAATATTTTCCCCAAATTCCTCTGACCACTGTTTTTTCTTTTTTTTCTTACACATTTTTCTTTTCTTTTTTTTCCTTCTTCCTCCCTCCCTCTCTTCTTTCCTTTCTTCATTTTTTTTTTTTTAAACTTGGTCCTTAAATGTTAGTGTTCTTGTTGGTTCTATCTTGGGCTACCACTATGCTAATTGTACACTCTCTCCCTGCATGATATTATCCAAACTCCTATTATTTTAGTTATTACCTAAGTGCTGATGGATCACAAATTTGAATCTCTAGTTATATTTTTCTAAGTTTTAGACCAACGACTTACTGAGTATCTCCACCTAGATGTCTCAAAGTACCTGAAATTAAAGGGACTCCAAACAATTCATCACCATCTCCTTGAAGTCAGTTCCTTTCCTGAGTCTCCTCCTCCAGTGTTGCCAGGTCCTGATTTTGCCTCCTACCTTTAATTATTACTAAGTTTTGCTCCTTTTGCCTCTTAAATATTTGACACACATGATTTTTCACTGTGTGCCTGCAACTTCTGCTCTAATTCAGATCCCATTTACCTTGTACTTTATTACATCACCTTTCTGCTTTTCTTCTCTATAACTTCATAGCTCTTTAATTGTTTATCTACAGAGTTGCCTTGTGATTTGATCCACCTGAAATCCGAATCAGACTATGCTACTCCCCAGTGTGAACTCCTTTTTTATATCACTGGTACCAACAGGATCAGTGAGAGCTCTTTGATAAGGCATATATGGTCCTCCTTGATTTGGCCCTTGTCTTTCTTGTCATAACTCTGAACATTTTACTGTCCAGCAGTATTGTTCTTATATTTGTCAGAACATACCATAAATACTCTTTCTCACTCTGACGTATTTTTGCTTATGATGTCCTTATGCATAGGATCCTCTTTTTCCCTTCTCTGGCTAACCTGCACTGTCTTGGGTGTTTTTCTTCCCCGAGAACTTTTCTCTGATGCCATCTCAGACTACGTTAAGTACCTCACTCCTGTATTCTCATTTTTTTAAATCTCTGCTTCCTGACCTGCATTCATTGGAACTAGAGTAGATCCTTATGTCCTTGCAAAGTTGGATTATGCTTTTTCTGAGTTTTTCCTACTTTCCGTATATGCAAGGTAGCAGAGACTTCAGAATACATGGAAGTATCTCTGTAGCAGATTAAATTTAGAGACACGTTTTCAAAATAACAGTATTTACTAACCAAAAGTAGTGTTTCCAAAATCCAGAGCTTACTATAGTCTACATCCATTTACCATTGTCACCCACCTACAAGTTCAGACGTAATTGAGGAACCCTACTGACAAGAGGAGGCAGCTTCTTGGTTTTTACCTTATTGGGATTGTATCCATGTACGCTAATAGTCCAGAGTTCAGAATCTGTGACATTTTGACTAACTTGGGATGAATCTCCTGTCAAAAGGTAGGTTGTGATGCCACATTTGTGATATCTTAAGAGAAAATAAAACCCACTATCTATATAAACTGAATTCTATCCAGAACTTTTCT